CACTCCATTTGGTGCTTGGCTGAGTTCTTTATCTCTTCATTTGATGTTTTAGGGTTTCAGGATTGTTGTATTCTCTGTTCGGCTTAGTTTTTCAGATCTTAGCTGTGGAGGGACGGCGTGGTGCTTCTGCCTAGAGCGCCATTTTGCTGGAAGTCCTATTTTATATACATTTTAAAAATATATACAAATTATGTGATATTCTAGTATCCAGATCCCCTTGATCAAGGCCTAGTTCTAGAGTTAAATATATTCAATGCTCACCAATAGTTCTTATGCGAAAGATTCTCCAATAATTTCTTAGTTGATCTGAAATTTCTGGGTGTGTATATTCTCCAGGAAGAGTTCATGGGAATAATATTCCCAGAGTTCTTACGTGTTCATAACTGTTTGTGACTTTTACTCATGAAGGTCATGTTGGCTGGATGTAAAAACTTTGTCTCGCAGTTTTCTTTCATTGAGTATCTTAAATATGTTACATTCTCTCCTAGTACAAAATGTTCTTCTCACAAAGTCTGAGGTCAACCTAATTTGCTTTCTCTTATCTATGACTTGTCTTTTACCTGGATCCAAAAGCTTCCCCCCCCCCGTAATTATTAAAATATAATAGCTATATTAGAATATTTTTTGGTGTTGACAATTTTTCAGGTGTACTGGTTGTCCTTTCAATATGTAGGTTTGTCTTCTTTTATTTCAGGAAATGTTCTTGAATGATAATTTTCAGTATTTGTTCTATTGTTTTGTTTGGGGACAACTTTCATAGTTATGTTGGATTGTGTTTGCCTTGCTTCTCTTGTTGTCTGTTTGCTCTTGATAGTTAGTATTACTGAAATTTTTTTTTTAAATCTTCTACAATGCCTGTCAGCTGTCTCTTCATATCCCTCTGTTTTCTAGTCATATAATTTCTTAGCCGTTCCAAATGTGACTTAAGGCTTTCTTTCATGGCATCTATACCCTTCTTAATTTTTAAGCTCATACTAAAATATTAGGTAATAGTTTTCATTATTTGTAGTCTTCTACAGTCATGTGCTGCATACTGTTCATTCAGGTAATGTCCAACCACACATACATCCGGTCTCATAAGGTTATAATAGAGTTCAGATAATGTAACTTATGCATAAATAACTTAAAGAAACACTTCTAGATAACTAAAATATCTTTAAGATAATAATACAGTAATAATAATAATGTTTTGATGCGTGTCACAAAGTAGCTCCTGTTTGTTATTAGGAACCATCATATGTATCTCAAATTTTTAATATAATAAGCTTTACAGGGGTTGGTTCATTCTATGGGTTGTATGTAAGTCAGATGTTTGTAACCCAGAGACTACCTATATATAATATGGTGTTCACACAATGTCCAAATCACATAATGTCCTATTTCACAGAATGTATGATGGATGTTAAGCAATGCATGACTGTTTATCTGCTTTGCTTTCATTGTCTGTTAGGTTTTTTGCTTATCCCTACAATATTTTTCTGTCAGTTTCAAACACCATCTTTCAGTTGTTCATCTTTATGTGAGCTGAATTTTCTTACACCTTTGGAAGGCATTTCCTATGTAGGTGGTAGTGTGTGATAGAATAACTGTGGTGAAATGAGTTACTTTATGTGACATTTTGCCTTGTTTCTTTGGAAAAACAGCTTGAGAGATTTTTTTCCCCTAAGCCCTGATGAGTTACCTTTACCCTAGTTTCTACCCTATGATTGATATTTCCTGGGTAAGCTGTAAATAACTTTTTGGCTGACCCTGGGCTGCAGCCTGCCCTATGATTGATATGTACCTTGCAGGGATTGGTCAATACACCCATGCAAATGAAGTGGCTTTGGACTATACAAATGAGGTAACTATAGCCTACTATGGAATGAAGTGTCTATGGCCTACAAAGAGGGGATTGGTCAGTTTGTGGCCCCCACTGGGAGGGGACATGCCTAGAAATTGATAGGAGTTATGTGTATATATATATGCAGTCAGATTTTTTGAGACAGCAGAAGGAAGAAAGAAGAGAGAAGCAGCAGAGAGAAAGAGGCAAGGAACCTCCTAAAAGAGCTGTAACACAGTCAAGGGCTGTAACACTGAAGACAATGAGAGGCCCAGAAGGGCCCAGCAGCAGAACCAGCAGTGACAGATGGTAGGGCCAAAACAAGCCTGTCCTGAGGGGGCTTAGAAGAGGCCTGCACTGCTAAGAGGAGCTGAGAGAGCTGTCATGCACTGAAGAAGGGAGACTTTGCCTACATGCTTCCTGATCTAGATTCTGAGTTGTAGCCTGTTGATCCTGATCCTGAATTTGTACCCTGTTCCTTAATAAATCACTTAACTGTAAGTACAGCTTGTGAGTTCTGTAAGACGTTGCAGGGAATTACCCAACCCAAACGGGGGAGGGAGAGTGACAGAGTCAGAGATGGAGTGGTATAGCAGTTTGGAGAATGAGGAAATCTGGGATACAGCTGACCTCTGCCTCGTGGGAATTGGCTTTGTGCTGATTCTTATATTTGAAGTTATATGTACAATAACCTGCTTAGCTTTACAGCTATAGTGCTCCTTTCTCTGAGTTTTCTGCGATGTATTAAATAATACGGCATCTGAGTATAAAACCTCTTCTGGTTCTTTATGACAGCTGCTTTCTGTGGTTCTCTCTACTCCAGGCCTAAGTAAGGGATGCTTTCCTCCAGAAAAGGTGTTTGCTTCTGGTTGGAGTCAGAGGATGCTGCCAGTCACCCACTTTTGTCTATATTAAGGGTCCTACCTTTATGTGGAAGTCTCAGCATGAGCTCCCTGACCCTGCAAAGGGTCCAAAGCTTCATCTCTGATGCCAGTTCTGACAGTGACATTTGCTTCCAGGATTTGGTTTTCTTGCTGCTTGCTCTCATGTTTCAGTTCACAGTTCCCATTCTTTTCTTTTTTGATGGTTAAAAAATTTTCTCATTTGTTTCTGAGCCAATTATTACATTAAATATATTTTTATTTGAATTTTATCATGTTCTAGTTTTGTTTTACCAGGAGTATTTTTCAGAATATGTACTCTTCCATACTGCTGAAATAGAATCATCCTATTTGTGTAATTTTCTTTTAAAGAATACATGCTCACTTAAATTTATTTGAGATTATGTAGAAATCATTTACCCTAAACATTCTCAGATACCTGTGGTAAAAGCCCTCTCTTGAAGTATATATTCCAGCTCCCCTTTGCATTTCATATTTCTTTCTTCTTTTTAAAAATCAACATTTATGTATAGGTTCCACATCAGTTTCTTTTCAATTCTGTCATATTTGAATAGGTATTTGTTCAAGAATAATCTGAGGAAGGACTGGGAAGCCACCCCCTATAGTTAGGAATGTTGTATCAAACCCACATTCCTATTAAAGCAGCTGTGTCCACATCCCAGAGGATAAGTCTCTGGTTAGTTTTAGCATCCATCCTTTAAGTAGAACAAGTTTCTAGGACAGCTCACAGTAAAGGAGATTTTTTTGGTCACAGCTTCTCTTTATGGTGATTTAGGCACCACACCAAATAGAACTCTAACACAATAAGCACTCAAAAATATCAGCTGAATGATTGGATAAGCAAAAATTCAAGTTCTTCACGGACATATCCATCTGCAAGTGTCATAGGCACATCATAATCACTATCCTTCCCTCACATCTGCTCCTCCACATCTACTCTCCTATCCATTTCTTTTCTATATTCTACTCTCCATTCCTACTGTGTAATCAATCATGCTGTTTTCCACTGCCTAGAAGATAAAGTTCCAGCTCCTCAGCTGGATGCACAATGGGAAATTTCTCTGATATTCTGCCCAGCCTAGTGAAGTGGAAATTAAGTAACAACCCAGAATTATTAAGTGTTGCCATGCCCCTGGCTTTATGTTTAGGAAAGAGGTAAGGGACAGAAAGAAATAGTTGCTGTCTTTGGTACTGAACTATGTAGGCAGAAAGGTGCTTATAGAATTTAGCATGCAAAAGCAGGGCTATCCTAGAAAGCAGAGAAACAAGCTTAGTGGTTCTTGTTTGCATTTCAAAACCATATCCTGATTCAGACAGCAAAAGATGAGAGTTACATGCCTAGTGTATGGGAAAAGCCCTGAAAACTTTGCATGGATAATATGTGCAAATAATTGAGAATTATGCTTAAAATATGAGTTTAAGTATATAATTTCTATGGACAACACAAATCTACAATTGTTTTGCTAGCTGATACAAGAGCTTTGTAAGATCCTTTGTTTTTCGTGAAACTTCTTAACATAGCCAGGCCAAAGACGTTCATAGGAACAAGCATTCCGAAAGGAATTCAGTATGGAAGATCAATAAATATCAATAACTTACAGAAAACAGTTATTAAAGATAAAAAAAATATGGATGGTGAGAAAAACAAACGTAGTGCAACTTCATTTACCTGGGAAGGTCGTTGAGATGAAAATTTTAAAATCTTCTAATTTATCTTCACCTGTATCAGGCTTGACCTTGGCCTTCAGGATGTAAACCTGGCCAAACTTGTTCTTGAGGTGCTGAGGGCTGCCCAAGCACATGAACTTCCCCTTCGCCATAATGGCCAGCCTGGTACAAAGGGCTTCACATTCCTCCATACTGGCAAAGCAAGATACCAGAATGATATCAGGCTGCGAGTTCTCCTCTGGAGGGCATTCTATAGTTCAAACAGTGCAAGGATTCTGTGACTATGCAAAAGGAAGTTGCATTTTCTAATCATCAAGCTCATAGCTGCGGTGTGGAAAGTTTTCAAATGCAAAGTACTAGAAGACCAAATCCTCAAAAGGAATATTTCCTGAACTTCCTGCCCTCTCCCCATCTTTAATTATTTAGCTCAATGAGGATTTTTGGCTGTTCACATACTCAGGCAAGTCTCATTGTCCAATATTCCTGGCCCAAAATAATTCCCTCTTATTGTCACTACAACTCCTGTCAACCCTCAACCAACCCTCCCAATGAGCCGCACCTGTGGGAGGTTATGGCGATGGCGTTGCCAGTTTCACGTATCTGTGTTATTAGATTCCAGAGCAGGCGCCGAGCTGCTGGATCCATGCCAGCTGATGGCTCATCCAGGAAGATGACTGAGGGCCTTCCCATTAAGGCAATAGCAGTACTCAGTCTACGTTTGTTTCCTCCACTTCAAGGTCAAGGAAGGGGAAAAAGTGGGAAAAAAGGGGGCTATACAAATTAGTTATTTACAGAAAAGAACACAGTAATCCAAAGTGCTGAGAGTCCCAGCAAACTCTTAATATGGACATCCACAATGCTGATTAGATGTGACTTTAACAAGGTAGCAGGCCCAAGTACAGGTGGATATATATCATTTCATTTTCATATGAAATGTAGAGGAGTGACTTATATTTATGTAACAGATTTCAGCAGCATTGTAAGTGGCATTTATTTACTTCTTCTTAGGGTACCATACATTTCCCAGGTACATAAGAACCACCCTAATTGAAAGAGCCTCACAGTCCTCCTTAATTGGGATACAAATAATCATAGGGAGACTAGGGAGAAGATACTCGCTTTTGACATTCAAAGGCTATCGTTCAAAAAGAACTAGAATTTTGAGTTTCATCTCTGCCAAGGGAATATATGAACTACATTGATCTGCCTTATTACCGGCATCTGAAACCTATCAAGGCAATAGATAATTTCACAATTAGATAACTGTGTGACACAGGGGTCAGGCAAAGTTGTGGGTGTTCATTTCAAACATCGGGAATATAGAGAGGCACCTAAACATTAGCAGCAGTGTAATGCCTCACCTGTAGGTGTAGATAAGCTTGTCAGCATGGGGCTCCAGATGTAGTGATTTCAACCAGTTGTTCACATACAGGTGAATCTGGGGCTCAGAGACTCCCCATATTCTGGCATACATGATCATTATTTCCCGACCAGTCATGTACTCCAGCAAGGCATCAGACTGAGGACAATAGCCAATTCTCGACTTCACCTGATTAGGAGAACTGCCTTCAGTAAGGACCCAAATCCCTCTAACCCACTGAGCAATAATGGATGAGACAGAAGATCTAAAGTCCTCCAGGCCATGTATCTAAGAGTCCTACACCAAGAACTTTTTTTCTCTTCTTGTGGCTACAAAATTTTAGGCAATGAAGCTCACTGAAGTAAACTGTAATAAATTTCTCTAATTCTGTTTTAATGATCTTAGGGATAAAGAATGTAGAAATGAAATCCCAGAGACCACTCAAATGGGGGAATCTGACACAAGATGCTTTCCTCATTAATCAGGAACTGCATGAATGTTTTTGCACTGCACCCCCTATACAACCATGTGTAGCCCTTGTTTCATAGTAATGCAGAATTAGAATCAAAGCCTTTCCCTACCCCAACCCACCCCCCAGTAAACTAAAAGAAGTGTTGCTTTGGCAATTAGTCCAACCCTTCTATGGATTTGCATTCAGATGCACATAGCTTATATAGCTAGAGAAAACACTATGAATTTAATTTAGTTCATTAATTTACAGTAATCCACAACTGTTCATGCCCCTAGACTCTTGATAGAAATAAACTCAAATCCCCTCCTTATCCTAGCTATCAAATTATTCTCACATACAATTTTTTAAGGAAAATGAGCTTCAGGCAAAGTAAATAAGATACCATGAATGACACTGGCAGAAACAATACTCATCACAAACAAACTTTTAATGACTTCAGATATTGGGATTAGCAGAACAGATACTTACTGTGTTAAAGTAAATTTTAAAGGCTTAAAAATATCTTCATTAAAGAAGAAAGTATAAATAGTCACCTAGAAGTTTTGGAAATAAATCAAATATAACATCTAAAAATAAAAAAAATATATATGTTACAAACTCTGTGAATGGATTTTACAGAAGATTAGTCACAATGGAAGAAATAATACTTAACTTGCAGTAGATCATAAGAAAGTACCTAGAATGCAGCACAAAGACGAAAAATAGAGAAACTATGAAAGTGATATTGAGAGAGAAGGATGATAGACTGAGGAATCTAACCTGTGGATAACTGGAGTTGAAGAAAGACAGAAAGGGAGTGGGGGAAGAGATGGGTCGGGGAGAGGGAGAGAGAGAGCGAGAGAAAGAAAGAGGTGGAAAGGCAGGAAGAAGGAATGGAGGGAGGGAAGGAGGAAAGAGAAAGAAAGAAAAGAAATATTTGAAGAGGTAATAGCTGAAAATTATCTAGAATCAATTAAAGATACAAACTGATAAATTCAAGATTGTCAACAAATTCCAAGCAGGATAATTTTTTTTTTAACAGACATATCTAATTACTTCATATTGAAGCTTATGGAAAACTAAGACAAATTTTGAAAAAGAGGCCATGGGAAAAAAAACAGATTAAAGGAATGTCAGACCAATAGCTGACTTCTCAAAAGCAGTGATAGAAGCTAGATGGTGAAACAACATCTTCAATATGCTAAAAGAAATAACTGCAAAACTCAAATTCTATACACAGTGAAACTATCAAGAATGAGGGTGAAATGAAGACCTTTTCGGAAAAATAAAATCTTAGATTCAGAAGAAGAAAGATGTCTGAAATTGGCATTTCTAAGCAATGCTGAGTAGAGGTTCTAGCCAGTACAATAAGGAAAGGAGTAAAAGCATGAGGATTGGAAAGGAAAACAAACCCTCATTACTTGCAGCAGTCATGATTGTATAAGTAGAAGTGCCAATGTAATTTATAGATAAGGTATTAAGATAAAGAGAATTTCACAAGTTTGTTGATTCCAAGTTCAGTATTTAAAAATCAGTTGTATTTCTATAAACCAACAGAAAGTAATTAAAAATAGAAACTTTAAAGTAATATTAAAAACATAAAATATACAGGAATAAATTACATACAATATTGCTTTTTTCTTTATCTTATATCCAGAGAGCTAGCTGAATTCTCTTATTAGTGCAGCATCTCCACACAACAATAAAACTACTATTTTGAGACATTAAAGGGACCCAAATACATGGAAATATATATTATGTTTATTGTAAATATGTCAGTTTTCTGGGTTTCCATTCAAAATCCCAGCTTTTTGTGCAAAGACAAGCTGATTCTTAAATTCATTTATAAATTTAACAGGCTGAGAATAACCAAGGTAATACAGAAGAACAAAGGTGAATAATACTGAAGAACAAAGTTTTCATTATTGGATATTGTGGCTTATTATAATTCTAGAGTAATTAAGAATGTGTGGTACTGGTGCAAGGATAGACAAATATACATATGGAACAGAACAGTGTCCAAAAATTGATCCATAATTATGTGACACTTGATATTTGACAAAGTTGATACTACAGAGAAATTGGAGCAAGGACAATATTTCAACAAAAGATGCTGGATCACTTGGCTATCCATAAGTGAAAAAAATAAAGAATCTTGACCCTTATTTCACATCTCAGTTTACAGATGGATTATAGATGACAGGTAATAAAATGAAACTTATAGATAATGACAAATGAAATTTAAGATTTAATTTAAAATTCTAGAAGGGAGAGTGTCGACATGTCATGGGGTTGTTAACCAATGTCATAAAACAGTATGTGTACTAACTGTTTAAGAGAAGCTAGTTTGTTCTGTAAACCTTCATCTAAAGTACAATTTAAAAAAAGATTAAATTTAGGGTAGGTGAGAAATTCTTAAACAGGACACAAATAAACAATGAGCAGAGAGAAAAAATGGGCTGCATTAAAATTAGAAGCTTATTTTTATCAAAAGAAAAATATACAAAAAACTTCTGAAAATTATTGCAAAAAAGCAGATAACTGAACAGAAAAATGGGTAAAAGATTTAACAGCCATTTCAATAAACAAAATATCCAAATTTCCAATAAATATTTGACAATATATTCATCATCAGGAAAAAGAAAACAAAACCCATTAAACACCCAACATAATGTCTAAAATGAAAATGTTTAGAAGACTGACAGCACCAATTATTGACAAGGATGTAGAATGATGGAAATGGCCATACACTGCTGGTAGGAGAGGAAAGTGATACAACCACTTTGGAAAACTGTTTGTCAGTATTTACTAAAGTCAGACATTCACATGCTTTATGATCCAGCAGTTTAGTTGTAGGTATATATCTTACAGAAATATGTACATGTGTGCACCAAAAGACTTGTTTAGTAACAGTCATAGCAATATTATTCATAACAGCTAATCCAGAAACAATACAAATGTCTTTCTTTCAAACTTAAGAGTATATAAATATCTTGTTTTATATTTATACACTTAAATATTACACAGCACTGTAAGTGAACAAACTACTCCATAAGTAACAACATAGATGAATCTTACAAACACAACACTGGATTTAAAAAGCCAGGAAAAGAAGTGTACAGTACAATTACATTTATATAATGTTCCAAAATGAGTGAAACTAGTACAGTAAAACTTGCAAAAGCTGGAACTTGTATAAGGTGGAGACCTGTCAGAGAAAGAAAACTCAAATATTTTCCACTAAAATGAGCGACAGCAAAGTGGTAAGAATGCACCCTGTCAAAAGCGGAAAACTTGCAAGACCTGGAAACACAAGGCAGTCCCGTTGAATTCTGGCTCTCACAGGTTTCACTGTATATGGTGAAAAATATCAGCATGGTAGTTTACATTTGAACTGACTAATAATTAAAAATGAATATTTAAATTTAATAACAGACATTACCGAAAAACTATACATACCATTTACATGAGACAAACAATGCACTTGCTACAATTCAACACTCAAATGCTAAATGCTCTTTGCAAACGAGGCATAGAAATGAATTGTCTTAAACTGATAAAGTGTAGCTAACAAATAGTATGCAAGTAGTGGGAATTTAGAAGTATTCCCTTAAAGGCAGAAGAAAAAAAAAGATATCCACTATCGTTACCTGTATTCAGCCTTGTACTGGTGGCACCACGTTATGAAATTGCACTAGAAAGAAATGTATGACGATTGGAAAGGAAGCAAAAAATTGTCATTATTTGTAGATGATAAACCTGTCTACTGAGAAAAGTCAAGAGAATCTGTTGATAAGCTGTGAAAACTAATTAGAGAATTAATTAGTTCATCTAGATTTCTGGATAATAAGATCAATATGCAAAACATCAACAGCATTCCTAAATACGAGCAACTTATAAAAAGACAGGAAAAATGATCCCATTAAAAATATTAATAAAATTCACAACACACAAGGAAATAAATCTAGTTAATTGTGCACAATTGTAGGGGAAGAACTGTTGTTAGTTGCCATCAAGTCAATTCTGACTCATGGAGACCCTGTGTGTGCAGAGTAGAACTGCTCTATAGGGTTTCAAGGCTGTGACCGTTTGGAAGCAGATTGCCAGGCCTGTCTTCCAAGGCACCTCTGGGTAAGTTTGAACCTCCAAACTTTTCAGCTAGTAGTTGAGCAGTTAACCATTTGCGCCACCCAGGAACTCCTGGAAGAGAACTACGAAACAGTATTAAAACAGATCTTACAGGCCTGAAGAAATGACAAGATCACTAACTATCATGTAAATAGCGAGAGATGTTTCAGGAGAGCAAACTGGTGGTGCAGCTTGGAGAGATCCCTGAGACCTAAACAGCTCCCTGAGACTTGCTGAACTCAGATTAAGAGTCTTTGCAAAAGGCTCAAATTTTGCCTGTCTGCCTGATCCGTTTTAAAATTGGACACCTTCTCTAATATCTACAAAATACTTCTACATCTCAATAACAAAAAGACAAATAATCCAGTTAAAAAATGGGCAAAGGATATGAACAGACCCTTCACTAAAGAAGACATTCAGGCGGCCAGCACACATAAGGAAATGCTTGCAATCATTAGCCATTAAAGAATGCAAATCAAAACTACAACGAGGTATCATCTCATCCTGACAATACTGGCACTAATCCAAAAAACAGAAAAGAACAAATGTTGGAGAGGTTGTGGGGAGACTGGAAGCCTTATGCAATGCTGGTGGGAACGCAAAATGGTACAACCATTTTAGAAAAAATATGGTGCTTCCTTAAAAAGCTAGAAATAGAAATACCATATGATCCAGCAATCCCACTCCTAAGAATATTCTCTACAGAAGAAAGAGCTGTCACACAAATAGACATATGCACACCCATGTTCATTGCAGCACTATTCACAATAGCAAAAAGATGGAAACAACCTAAATGCCCATCAACAGATGAATGGATAAACAAATTACGGTACATACACACAACGGAATACTATGCAACAATAAAAAACAATGACGAATCTGCAAAACATCTCACAACATGGATAAATCTGGAGAGTATTATGCTGAGTGAAATAAGTCAGTCACAAAAGGACAAATATTCTATGAGATCCCTATTATAAGAACTCAAGAAAAAAGTTTACACACAGGAAATAAACATTCTTTGATAGTTATGGGGGCGAGGAGGGGTGGAAAGGGGAAAACACTAACTAGATAGTAGACAAGTGTCAACTTTGGTGAAGGGAAAGACAACACACAATATAGGGGAAGTCAGCACAACTGGACCAAAGCAAAGGCATAAAAGTTTCCTAGACACAGCCAGACACTTTGAGGGTCCAAGTGGCTGGGGCTGGGAGCTGGGGACCATAGTCTCAGGGAACATCTAGGTCTATTGGCATAACATAGTTCATAAAGAAAATGTTCTACATCCCACTTTGGTGAGTAGCGTCTGGGGTCTTAAAAGCTTATAAGCAGCCATCTAAGATACATCTATTGGTCCCATCCTATCTGGAGCAAAGGAGAATGAAGAAAACCAAAGACAAGAAAAACATTATCCCAAAGGACTAATGCACCACATGAACCCACAGCCTCCAGCAGCCTGAGCCCAGAACAGCTAGATGGTGCCTGGTGACCACCACCAACTGCTTTGACAGGGATCACAACAGAGAATCCCAGACAGAATGGGAGAAAAATGTAGAATGTAATTCAAATTCACGAGAAAAGACCAGACTTACTGGTCTGATAGAGACTGAAGGAACCTCCAAGACTATGGCCCCCAGACGCTCTGCAAACTCAGAACTTAAACCACTCCCAAAGCCCACTTTTCAAAGACTAGACAGGCCTATAAAACAAACAATAACACACATGAGGAATGTGCTTCTTAGCTCAATCAAATATCTGAGACCAAATGGGCAACTCTTGTCCAAAAGTAAGATGAGAAGGGAGGAAGGGGTAGGAACTGGACAAATAGACACAGGGAACCCAAGGTGGAAAGGAGGGACATGCAGTCACATTGTGGGGACTGCAACCAATGTCACAAAACAATATGTGTATAAATTTTGAATGAGAAATTAACTTTTGCTGTAAAGTTTCACCTAAAGCACAATAAAATTAAAAAAAGAAAAGAAAATTTGCCACTTCATATGGACTATCTCTTTGGTTCCCACTTCACTTTTGCTCCCTGACACTATCTTCAGTTAACCCTTTTTCTCTACTCCTCATAGTCAGAGGACTGTTTTTTGCCACCACTATGTCCCCCAAGGGGATTTGATAAGTTGTTTGGATAGTGGTGTTTAGGGGAGACCCCATCCACCCATTCCTCCCCACACATCTCCTTTCATCATGTATCCCTTCTTCCTTTTTATCTTCAACTTCCACCTTTCTGTTCACTCTTTTCACTATTATAAATGCACTCAAGTTGATCAACTTATAAAACATCTTCTCCTGTCTCCTCACATCTCTTGGTGAATTCTAATTTTTCCCTTTGCTTCACAGCTAACTTTCTTCAGAGTATAACCCACACTCTTAGTTTCAGAGCTGGTTACTATTCCGTTGTTTCCTATAGTATGCAAGCCACCCCTAACCCAATCCTCTTGATTCCATGATAGCAGTGTCTTATGAACTGAAAGGGAATGAATTGCACCGTTCAGGCTCCTATTACCATGACCCACCTACCTCAGTGCAGTTGATCTTGCCAATCTCATCAATGAAGTTCTAGTTAGTAAGTCTAATAGACACCATTCAGGCTTTACCTTGCCGGAGATTTCTTGCCATTAGACATATCTGACCATCTCCCTTTTGAAATTATTCCCTCAGTTACCTTTTTCCCAAGGTTACACACCCACTTTCAGGTGGCAGGTGCAGCCAATGACTTGGTGATGCAGGGAAACAAAGACCTAGCTACCTTGCTTCAATTTTAGAAGGACTCAGAAGGACCATCTTGCTCATGAACTCTCATAAGATGGGCCAAGACCTCAGCTGCAACTGAATTACAGGTCAGCTTCTCCTTCTGCCAAGTCTTGTCTTCCTCACACCCTTATATCACTTTGTCTGGCATATGTTACATGCATTGTTGAAAGAACTTGACTCTTACTCCAACAGTTTCAAAGAACACAAAAGACACTGTATCTTAGATCTCAGGTAGGGGTGCTCTCACCATCTCTTCTATAAAATTTATCTTTCACTTCAAAATCCACTGATTGAGTCAACAGTATCAATACTAATGCCTACCATGATTCCCATCTATGATCTCCAGCCTCCTGCCTCTTAGCTGCACCCCCCAAATCATCATACTTCTTGCATCTTAGGCAGTAATAGTCTCTTACCTTTAGGATATTATGGGTGATGCTAAAGCCTTCAATGAACATATCCCCAGAAGTAGCAGTCCTTTCTCCAGTCAGCATTTTAAAGATAGAGGTTTTTCCTGCTCCATTGACTCCAAGCAATCCAAAGCACTCCCCTTTTCGTATTCTAAGGGAGATATTTTTCACAGCCAGAATGGCTGGACACTTAAAATATATCTAAAAATCCAGAAAACACAATGTAGTGAATACAGCCTATAGGTCAAACACAATCAGGACCTCAACCCCTATGGACCACTACCTAGGACAATTTCACAAAAGCTATTATATTGGGAGAATACACATAGATCCCAAAGAACTACAGTGAGCCCTTGAAACCAATGACATGTTCCTAAGTAAGGATGAAGCTAGCATAATGTTGGCTACTGAATGACATTACCTTTATGAGTTCCTTAATAAGTACTACAGTATTCAGCAACTCCTGAGGCAGCTCCAGGATTCTCTTCCTTTCCTCTTCTACATCTTCATCTTCAGATTCCCCAGATAATTCCTTGGAAACTATATCCTATGTTTCAAGACAAGAATCATAGAGATGGATGTTCTTTAGGCATCTGTTATAAAATTGGTGACTTTAGGAAAGTTAAACTAGGGGATAATCTCAAATTTGTCAAAACAAAAGGTTTGAGTCATTTCCAAGGGACTTCCTGTATTATCACCTCAAATCTCCTATACAAAATTGACTGAGTTTTGAAGAATGAATAATTCATTAGCAGAATAAGGGAGCAGAAGAGAGAGAAAGAACATCCCATGTAGAAGAATGGATATGAATTAACATGTTAAGATGTGTACTTTAAATCTTTGAAAAATGTAATTTAAAGCATTCAGATAAATGGTTTGCAAGACCTGGATCCTTAAGAAGAAAGTCACCTCAGAAGAGTATGGAAGCTCTCAAAAATACATTCCTGAGTTTGTAATCATAAATGACTTTTGCCAAGATTAAAAGGAAATAAGAGATAAGAAAATTAGCAAATCTTCACAGAACTTTTTCCAAGAAACTCACTGGACCCTATAGCCTGTATTTGCAAGACAAATACTACAGATATGAATACTCTTTAGTTATCTTGTGTAGACCAAATAGCTTCAGGAAACTGATCTCAAGATGTTAGAACAGAAGGTTGGAGTAATTTTTTAAATCATTTTGTCCAATCACTTCAGAACACATTGATCCTTGCTTGCCATAGTTTAAGAAATTAGGATTACATAGCCTATTTTTGCCGGAATTGGACACCTCATCAAACACTGAAGCCACAACTGAGATTATTAAAATCAAACATGATTTGTTATAATCACAGTACAGTCAACATACCAAAAGATTAATGAAGTGTTAACTCTTTCTTTTATAAGGGAGAGACAAAAAGAGTAAGCCTTCACATAGAAAAATTTTGAGACTTCTAGAATATCATGGTGAGGAGATCCATGGATCTTTGCCCCTGCAAAACCGGTGAAGATTTTTTTTAAGTCTCTGGAAATGGTCCTAAGGGCATACAACATATGAAAAACATTTATTCGAGAAAATCTACTAAGGGGAGGTGGGGCCAAGATGGTGGAGTAGTCAGATGCTTCCAGTGGACCCTCTTACAACAAAGACCAGAAAAAACAAGTGATTCGATTATATATGGCAATCTGGGAGCCCTAAACATCAAAGGCAGAGTTGAGGAACCGGACTGAGTGTCAGGGGGATGGAGAGACAGTTCAGAAGCAGCTAGGAGGTGCCAGACCTGACCCGGCGAGAGCCTAAGCCCTTCAGGCCTGATCAGCTCATGGTGAGCAGTGAGGCAGGCAAGCGGCCGTGCTCGGGAGGTGCGTTTTCTGCATCAGAGACCCAGCGCCAGAGAGTCTACACGACCACCCAGCACCAGTGAGAAGCAGCCCTCATCAGCGAAAGATAAGTTCTTGCGTACGGCTTACCGCGCGGATCAAAACCCCCCCCGCTTAGGGAAAAACCTCTCTCCCATTTACCTCCCCACTCCCTGCTCTGCACTGGGTCCCAGACTAGATTCAGCAATTGCCAAGTCCCCTGGGCCAGAAGTAGGATCCATCACATGCCTGGAACCATTCTCCCTGCCTTGGAGAGTGAACAAATTAACAAATGGCAAAAAAATAAACTGCTGGCTCCCCTAAGCCAGGAACCCAGGGTAGGCACAGCCCCTTTGCCTAGGCACAGGCATAATGGATCCATGGACTTTGAGTGCCTTTCCCCTGCATAGACTTGTGTGGGCCCATCTCAACAGCATAGGCCCTCATTACTGCAGTACAACAAGGTATATACGGAACTCTAACTTCAACTGTTTCAGCTGTGAAGTGGCAGGCTCTTGACATTTGACACTGCTCTGCCCATTAAACAGGGTCTTCACCTCCCCACATCAGGGGCCTGAGGACTGGTGGCTCCACCCACGCCACCTAGCCACATGCGATAGGGGCCCATGAGTAAGAGGTGCCCCCCAGTCCTTACAGCCAACAGCATTAGCTACTCATAGTCCGGCTAGAAAACCCACCCACCTATGCACTCTAGGGAACAGGGACATGCCTTCCTCCTGGACACTCAGGGGCAGCCGTCAGCCCCCTGCCTTGCTCATAGTGTGTCCCCCTGCTGCAGCCAGATGCCTGTGCCTACACCAATCACTCATGCCTGTCTAGGACTGTAAGTGAGAGCCTACACCACACACCTGGTGGCACCTGAGCTGAAGCCATACAGGAGGAGTGGGTGAACTCATGAGCTCACATACCTAGTAACAGATCTAACCACCTGGTGACAAGACATTAGAACTTCAAAGGTGCCAATAATCAAACTAGCTCATACGAGCAGCCTATTTGGGCAGATCAAAACAAAACAAGAAGCTAGGACACAGTAAGCAAACATAAAATAAATAAATATAATAACTTATTCATGGCTTGAAGACGACAGTCAATATCAAATCACATAAAGAGGCAATCCATGATGGCTTCAGCAAGCTCCCAAAATAAAGAATCTAGAAATTTTCCAGAGGAGAAAAAATTTCTTGGAATTACCAGAGGCAGAATACAAAGGGTTAATATACAGAACTCTTCAAGAAATTAGGAAGGAAATTAAGCAAAACGCAGAACATGCAATAGAGGAAATTAAAAAGATTAGAGAAGAGCATAATGACAAATTTAACAGGCTGAAAGAATCCATAGACAGACAGCAAACAGAAATCCAGAGGATTAACAATAAAATGTCAGAATTAGACAACTCAGTAGAAAGTCACAGGAGCAGAATTGAGGCAATGGAAGTCAGAATTAGTGAGACTGAAGATAAAGAACTTGACACCAACTTATCTGAGGAAAAATCAGATAAAAGGATTAAAAAAATGAAGAAACCCTAAGAATTATGTGGGACTCTATCAAGAGGAATAACCTACGAGTGACTGGAGTACCAGAACAGGGAAGGATAACAGAAAATACAGAGAGAATTGTTGAAGATTTTTTGGCAGAAAACTTCCTTGATATCATGAAAAATGACAAGACATCTATCCAAGATGCTCATCGAACCCCACATAAGGTAGATCCCAGAAGTCACCAAGACATATTATAATGAAACTTGCCAAAACCAAAGATAAAGACAGAATTTTAAGAGCAGCTAGGGATAAATGAAAAGTCGTCTACAAGGGAGAGTCAATAAGAATTAGCTCGGACTACTCAGCAGAAACCATGCAGGCAAGAAGGCAATGGGATGACATATAGAAAGCCTTGAAGGAAAAAAATTGCCAGCCAAGAATTATACATCCAGCAAAACTGTCTGTCAAATATGATGGCGAAATTAGGGATTTCCAGATAAACAGAAGTT